AAAGTGAAAATCACCCATCCTAGACCCGAAATCTGACTTTTTTAGTACGTATAATACGGTCTTTATATTCTTTAACACCTATTTGGGAATAATTACAAAGGGAAGATCTTCCACCCAGCGGGTGGAATTATTCAGTAGTCTGACGATCCGAATATTTTATTATTATTTGGGAAGGAAGGATTACTGGTGCCCGGAGGCCTTTCCGGTTTCACCAAGACAGGTGGGCGAAAACGGGCTCAGCCAGCAGGGCGGCCCGAGTACCTCAGAAGTCGTCGTGGCCTAAAGGATAAGTCGTCCGGTGCATTCGTGTGTAGCGATGCACCGGTGTTCGAATCCCGCAGGCGGGTACCAATTTTTCTAATGAAATACGTATTCAACAAATGTTCACGATTAACTTCCACGGTGAAGGAATAACATCGTGTAATAAAAATCAAACCCGCAAAATTATAATTTGCGTAATCACTGGTGGTAGGACCTCTTGGGAGTCCGCACGGGTAGGTACCACCGCCCTGCCTATTTCCGCCGTGAAGCAGTAATGCGTTTCGGTTCGAAGGGTGGGGTAGCCGTCGTAACTATACTGAGACCTTAGAACTTATATCTCGAGGTGGGTGGCGCATTTACGTTATAGATGTCTATGGGCTCCAATAACCACTTAACACCAGGTGGGCTGTGAGCTCGTCCATCCATCAGAGCAATAAAAAAAAAAGAAAAAAAAAAGGAGTTCTAACAGCTGGAGATTAATTGCTTCACGAATACATCTACTACCAAATCGGCATCGCGACCCACTGAGAAGATTCAGCGAGAAAGCCAGCGGTCTGATGTATGGATTAGGTTGCACGTCGAACTCTTAAGCAAGTTCTACGAGTATAGTTACCAAGGTCCCTAAGCCCTAATAATAGTGTTACTGGATCCGATAGATCCCTGAGGACGTGTCTAGAGCGTCAACGGTGACTGGCCCTTGCGAGAACCGGAGTCAGGAAGTAGTCAAAGAGTCCGAAAGGTATTGTTCGAAACTTTCAGAGATTCAGGCATCTATCAAATACTTTTATTTTAGTATGATAAATACCGCCACATTTAGGTATGAGTACTGTAATGCCTGAACCATACTAAACATTACTGTAACTCGGTGTTTAAATATTTTCAAGACATAATAATAAAATATTATCATGAATATAGATTTATGAGAACAGGCAGCGCTAACCACCAATCAACGATAGGTTTGTACGTTCAGTGTACTGGAAAGCCTTGTACGAGTACAATTAGACTGGCGCTCATGGAAGGCTCGAGAACCGAAATAACGTGAACGCCTACCCTCAACCCCGGTGTGGCTCAAGTTATAAGAATTCAACTGCAATCTAACGTTATTAAAGCATTTCAGTTCAACATTTCAATATAATATAATCACGCTATCTCTTAGTGAAGCATACGAAAACCGTTTTTTTTTTTTAATTATGTTAATTTTGTATTGAAATCTTCTAAAGTTGCTCGACCGATGTTACTGGTTTTTACGTGGGTGACCAGGATAATTTAGATTTACAATTAGAAACAGATTTGGTAGGCAGCGGCTTGGCTCTGCCCCTGGCATTGCTGAAGTCCATGAGCGACGGTAACCACTCACCATCAGGTGGGCCGTGTGCTCGTCTGTCTACAAGGCAAAAAAATAATAAGCCGCGCAACAATCAGCCTCTATTGAAACAAAACCCCTTTGTTTGGGTCAATAAATTGGCCGGTGTGTATGTGGTATGTGCATTACCGCGTTTTTATCTGTTTTATCTGTTGGCACTCTAGCGAAAGTTGTTGTAATAACATCAATGTAGAAACGATAGTGTGCTATTAGTACAAACAAATCTATGGTTTTCGTACATTTTTCTATAGTTACAGAGGAGTAGGATAATTTTTCACTGGTGATTAATGCTACCAATGTATGTGGTAAAGGATTTTTTTTTATTGCTTAGATGAGTGGACGAGCTCACGGCCCCCCTGGTGTTAAGTGGTTACCGTAGCCTATAGACATCTACGATTTAAATGCGCCGCCCACCTTGAGATATAAGTTCTAAGGTCTCAAGTATAGTTACAACGGCTGCCCGACCCTTCAAACCAAAACGCTTTACTGCGTCACGGCAGAAATAAGGAGGGTGGTGGTACCCACCCGCGCGGACTCACAAGACGTCCTACCCCCAGTAATTACGCAACCTATAATTTTGCGGTTTTGGTTTTTATTACACGATGTTATTCCTTCACCGTGGAAGTCAATCGTGAACATTTGTTGAGTACATATTTCATTGGAAAAATTGGTACCTGACGGCGGGATTCACCGGACGTCTTATCCTTTAGACCACGACGACTTCAACTATACGAAGCGTTCTAATTTAGTATAGTCGTGATTAAGGGTAGGTTAATAAATAAAAACAACACTTGCTCCAAGTCTTTGTCTTGAACCAAACAACAGAAAGTTGCTCGCCAGTGCGTTACCTGTAACGTGGCCCATATTCGTCACAGGGGCTTTCCATTGGGAAGTTCCCAATTTTGTTACTTTACCCGAAATGTCAGCTTTAACCAGAATATTTAACATAACGCATTATTTTATAACACGCGAATACAGTTAAAATACAGTTAAAATTTATGTCACAATTTAAAATATATGAATTTTGGAAATACATAATTTAACTTTCACACGATTTCAGCCCCATGTCTCAAAGCAATACTGGTCATTGTTGTGACAGTTTCTATGAGGTCTATAACGATCTAATCTCACGGATGCCTGCTGATCTACTGAGCTGATGATCTGCTCCAATCCTCCATCTGCTCAAATCCAAAATTAAATGATCACGATGCTAAAGAAAGTTTTCCTTCAAAAACGTTCTACATTTAATGGTCCTATGCGAACATTTTCTCCGGTGCTATGGATAACAGAAACACATTAACATAAGAATCAAATACCAACTTTTTTTTAACACAAACTGACTGCCTTCTACTATTAGGAATGGAACTTGTATCGCACAGCCCGTCGCACTAACCGCTAGTCCAACGAAGCGTTGAAAGACCAAAAGAGGCATTCATAAACCCCTAATCTTCCGATAAAAAGACCTCATTACCTCGAACTGAGACATCGCCAGTAATAATCCCTGCTTCATTAGGTCTCTGCGTCGGCGTAACTCATATATTGAATTAAGGTCTGCGTCTCGATTTTCCTCTACTAAAGTCAGTCGATCCCGGTCCAATCACCGGCAGCCATTATTTTGATCAGCTCGGCTGTACGACCCACATACGTTTCTCGCACTCAACGGCTTAATTAATACCATTTATATTGAACGCGAGGAGCGTCTACGATTCCGAGATTCGCGTTCCTTTATTTTTAAACTAGATTTCATCTATTTGCGGTTAACCTAATGGTTATGCTTCTATTTTTATTTGTTAAGATAAATAAGAACGATAGTCTCAATATGTAAATATCTCCTTCTTTTCTTTCCTACCTACGCCGATAGCCTTGAGAGACTATTTCAGCTTCTCCTTGACGTATGGGTGAGTTCACGAGGCAAAAATCGGAGTGTTGCTAACAGTGGCCCTAGCAAGAGCAGTGCTTCGCAGAATCTACCACTGGATCGGAAACGCGACCCACTGAGAAGATCTAGCGAGAAACTGCGCTGTGTCTATGGGTTACTCATCCTAATTAATACAGTCTATCATTGGAATTTACAATAAACTATTACATCTCCATCGGTTTTTTCAACTAATTAACCGAGTACAGAACAAACTCATTTGTTTATATAAATGAGAAGTCGAAGCGCAAATAAATAAAAAAGATGTGTGGTGTCGTGGGACACCGGATAGGAACGAAGTTTCTTATTATAAAAATATTAATTTTAAGTTCTATTCGAGGTATAAAGAAAATAAAACTGGAGGTTTCGCAACAACCCACGGTCATTCGGTAACGTGCGAACTTATTGTGGTACACTCCATTCACGGTTGTTTGCATAAGAGTTAGTGTATTGCCCAAATGAACGCTCTGAGATCGTGGTCAATGAATGATAAAAAAATATGTTATTTTTTGTACGTTATTACAAAGCTAAGTCGTACACTGTGTGCATTACTAATAAAAATCTTACGTTACGGACGTTTTTTTCCCGGTTAGGGCACCCCTCCGCATCGTCCCATAAGGAACTTCGCTCCAAAAAAATTGAATGAGAAGTCGTCTCCCCTCAACTAACCATAGAGTACGATCAAAATCAACGAATTAAACATTCGTCAGTTTTTTCCAACTGCCTACGGACCAAGCGAGACGACGTCGCGTGATATATAACAAAAAATGTCGAGGTCAGTTTTTACTTCGACGCCAAATTACCTCACGGCACCTTAGTACAGTTAATTAAATTCTTTTAAGTGTCCTCCTGGGCGCTAATGAGAATGCCTTTTCAGTTGACGTTCTAGAAACTTTCTTTTGTCTTTGAGGCCTGTTTTTAAGTTAATTTAATGAAATTTAACTAGACTATTTATTTTGTTAGATTGGAAGAATCTAATGAAATATACCTCTTTATTACAACTACTCCCGTATCACCAAATGGTCGGATATCCATTTTTTCCAAACTAAAATAAGCCTTGTGTATTATCTATGCGTTTAGGAGAGTGTGAAAAAAGACAAAAATCTATATGAAACTGATTCGTGCAAAAAGTAAGTACATATATTCGAGGTTATTCTTACGATATTCTTTTTCTACAAGTCAAATCGTCTAAAGAAGTTCGGCGAGCATTATAGCAACTTGAACCTTAGGCACAACGGAAGAAAGAACAGAACCGCTTTAACAAAGAAAGGGTGCTTTTGACACACCATTGACGTAAGATAGGTACAAACTCCTTCTCCTTGCACTCCAGTCTCCTTGTTCCCGCCTCTGATATTAAGATAAACTAAACCATAGGTCGGTACTGGAAGGGTTTTGTAAAAGATCTAAACGAATACTATTAATGCAAATGAAATATATAAATAGTCTTGTGGCATACTTATAATTAGGGCTCTCCATAAAACCTAATTCTGGCAACACTCTTTTTTTAGATATATACCTATGTATTTTCAAAATTAGATCTATGGCAGTTCAACAAATGGTTCGGGATCTATTTCCGGCTTCTGACAGGTGAGGACCCCGCAGCGGTTGTGACAGCACTTGAGGGCACGAGGGCAGTCCGAGTCGCCGGTGCAAGTGTGGGAGCAGATCCACGGGCCGCGCGGAAACTCGGGGCAATTACCTTTCTTTACTGTAATAAACAGAATTTATTCTCAATGATTTGCTCAATGTTTAGGGCAATCCTAAACATAAAAATGTATATGATTGTTTCCCACATTTGGGAACAAACTAATAAGTATGGCAACACCGTTAGTTGCAGTTACAAAAAAAAACTGATCGTACGAGCGAAAGATTTTTCGCTCTGAATCTAGTTTTTATTGAAGCTAGCACCAAAATACAGTCCACTTGTAAATATTTTAGTAAACTTTCGAAATAGATCTTAACCCTTTGACTGCCATGTAGGTCACCGGTGACACTGAAATAATTGTGTGGATTTTTGTTACTAACAGTATGGATTGCCTTTTTTTTTTTTTTTTTTTCGGTAGAGGGCCGAACCTCCTACGAGGTCCCCGCGCAAAAGGGGCGCGCGGGGTATGTGAGACTCAACGGTCTGCATGGTGTTGTGAGCAGACCGCGGGCCCAAGGATTTTAGGACCCACCCACTAAACGACTCCCCTGCACTCTTACACCCGACGTCCGATCCCCTCCGAGGTCAGAACCCGGATGAGGTAGGGGGGCTACCGCGGTCAACACTACAACCAGACGGCGCGGCTCACCCCAAGGACGCCCAGCCGACGGAGCCTTCGAGGCGAATCGAAGGCTCTGAAACGTCGGCCGTCTCGGTACGGCAGCCCGTCGGGCCGCCCAGACGGTGCCGCTGGTGTCCCGGAATACCCCGCTGGACCAGAACCAGCCTGCCGGGTCGGGACGCGATACACCGTCGACCGGTCGCTCTATTCACTCCACGGCAGCGCGCTAGAGTGCTGGTAGCGCGCCGCGCGGCCTCACCCCCTCAGGTCGCCCCTTGACCTTCACCGGGGGGAGGCCGCCACCTACAGAACAGTATGGATTGCCTAACGTTGCTATTTTTTTTTTTTATGCATGTCTTAGTTTTTTTAGCTCTCTTAGAAATAGGTTCATTCTCAGTATCTTCAGATTCGTCTTCTGTAGTATATTCTGGCACCTTAATAATAGAAATCGACATAATTACTACAGTAATGGCAGTCAAAAGGTTGAGATAGAAACGTAAGTAGAAGTGAAGTCTAAAATAAATACTCGTAATTTTATAAAATTCACGTTTCGTGAGCACATTCGTGTATACCATCCTTTTTTTTTATTGCCCTTGGTAGGTTGCAGGCAGACGAAAATAGGGCCCATCTGATGGTGAATGGTTACCGTCGCCCATGGACTTCAGCAATGCCAGGGGCAGAGCCAAGCCGCTGCCTACCGTTAAGTATTCTCCACAAGCCTCATTTGAAGAAGAACATGTCATAGCGCTCGGGAAACACCGTGGAGGAGAGCTCATTCCAAATCCGGATGATACGTGACAAACAAGATCTTTGGAAATGCACTGCGGATGACCGCAGCGGCTCCAGGTAGTATGGTATGGTATACATTCAAACATAGACCACGTGTCTTAAGGAGGATGGCCGCATTCACGCTGTGATGTATATAAACTTAAACCCCGACGCGCCGTGGACTCGAACCCTTATCACGGAATAACAAATAAGAATATTACCTAAATGAACAAAGTGCCTCTGAGTCATCGCGTCAACACACATGGCTCCACCGCAGTGCGTGGGACAGCAGAGCTGAGTCCCGTTACACTCCTGACCGGGACCACACATCGGCTCGCAAATGTCCACGGACAACGTCGGAGGACACGACCCGCACAGCGAGTACGAAGCGAAGCAGGACACTGGAATAAAAAAAACATATAATATCACGTTTTCATTTAAAAACTAGCTGACCCGGCAGACTTCGTAGTACCTAAATCGAGAAATAAAAGACCTAAACTTTTGTATAAAATAAACTTAAAACCAACAAAAGGAATCCGTCCGATGGGGGACACATCAAAGGAAAAACAAAATTTGTTTTATTTAATTCCGAGCATTTTGATATTTATCAACCTTTTAAGCCTTTTCTGGACTTCCACAAATAATTTAAGACCACAATTACCCAAATCGGTCCAGCCGTTTTCGAGTTTTAGCGAGACTAACGAACAGCAACTCATTTTTATATATAGATATGCAAAAAAATTACTCCCATTTTTAACTGCTACATCTATGGAGTACTATTATTGGTATTAAGACAATATATTATATTAAATAATAATATTCTCTGTGTATCAACAACTACAGTCAAGTTTGTTCATCAGTGCTCACGGTTAACATGTTGATTATCTTGACATTGACATTAATGACATGGCAGAGAATTCTTATTCGTACTATTGCCGAAGACGTCTGGTTGATAAAAAATCAAAATGCATCTTTCCGTACAATAGTTCAATAGAACAAACATTTAGGTATAATTTTATAAGCAATAGGAAACCGTTTTCTAAACAGAAAATCCGAATATCCAATTACGTTCATTATTAATTCAATATTCAGACTAAACAAGCTGCCGCGTTCTATTCCTCAAACTATCACGTTCAAGATACAATTTTGAAGCAATGATCACAAAATCAAGTACTGTATTACTGGTGGTAGGACCTCTTGTGAGTCCGCACGAGTAAATACCACCGCCCTGTCTATTTCTGCCGTGAAGCAGTAATGCGTTTCGGTTTAAAGATTGGGGCAGCCGTTGTAAATATACTTGAGACCTTAGCACTTATACCTCAAGGTGGGTGGCGCATTTACGTTGTAAATGTCTATGGACATTGGTAACCACCTAAAACCAGGTGGGCTGTGAGTTCGTCCACCCATCTAAGCAATAAAAAAATTTATATATAAAATTTACACATACATTTACATTTGCGTGTATATTCACATACATATGTAATCATATACACACTTAAACACAACATAAAAATATAACTAATTTATCAGAGAAATAGAAGAAAATATTATAGTATAAGAAAATAGTATATTGCACAGAACACACTACGTTGCGAGTCAAATTTTTAAGTTTACTATAGTAAAACGCTCACTTAATGAAATGTTTTGTCGAAATTTTTACGAGAAATGCGTTCGATTTCAAACAGCGAACATAAAACGTCTTTTGTAAGAAACTTAGAACCCTCATAACGAAATTGGAGATCCATTAAATCTGTACTCACCGATAATTAGAAGTAAACAACGCAGCATTTCTGGACTCTTGAACTCACGGGTCATTCGCAACACAGCTGAGATTATAACGACAAATTCTTAGTCCACACACACACACACACTATTTTAACTTAATATCCTATAAACAAACTATCTCTATTATCCACAGACGATTTTCTAATTTACTAATTGCGATGTACATGCGACGGGTTTGCGAGAGCGAATCGGATTGATCGCTAATAAACAGTAAATGTTTTTTTATGTCAATACAGTGAATGCGAACAACATATTATTATCAGTTCCCGGTAATACATTAGGTTCATGAATACGACACGTTAACATCCTCGAATTAAGTTAGTCATGTTATTTTCGTGTTACTTTTGCCTTTCGAACGAATTTATAAGATTTTTAAGAATAATGCTCATCGTGAAATAATGAAATACGTACTTAACAAATGTTCACGATTGACTTCCACGGTGAAGGAATAACATCGTGTAATAAAAATCAAACCTGCAAAATTATAATTTGCGTAATTACTGGTGGTAGGACCTGTTGTGAGTCCGCGCGGGTAGGTACCACCGCCCTGCCTATTTCTGCCGTGAAGCAGTAATGCGTTTCGGTTTGAAGGGTGTGGCAGCCGTTGTAAATACTATACTGAGACCTTAAAACTCATAGCTTAAAGTGGGTAGCGACATTTACATTGTAGATTTTTATGGGCTCTGGTAACCACTTAGTACCAGGTAGGCTGTGAGCTCGTCCACCCATCTATGCAATAAAAAAAATAAAAACTATTTGGAATTGATTTAAGTATGTCTTTAATGAATAAATGTACACAGGTGAGCGAACGTTAGGGGAACTTGAAATGTCGAGTCAAATTCATTTCACGACTGCTTTAATTTCGACTTCTTATATTCAAGTAAAATTCACGTCATGTACTTAACGATTTTTTTTTTATTACATTACATAAATATTACTCGTGCTACGCTAATAATAAGAAAATAGATTAATTAAATACTAAATTAATAATATTAAAATAATATTAATAAATAATAAGAATAATAATTTAATAACTAAAATATATTATTGAAAGGAGTCCCTTTAGGCAAGGTTCCGAAGATACTGGCAGCGTTCCCCCTTTGAATAGCTAGACTAATTATTTGTCCAAGGTAGCTGCCAGCTCTTCGGAACCTAGCCTAAAGGGACTCCTTTTAATAATATATTTTATTTATTAAATTATTATTCTTATTATTTCTTAACGATTACGGTAATTTCAACATTTTGCCGATCCGATATCCATGATACAATTTATCAGCGTACAGATCAAATGTCAGAGAGATAATATGTTAGTCTCCGACCAAACTGAACCGAGAGTATATGAAGTTATCGGGGTATTTATATATTATTCCGATCTTGTTTACGTTCGCTGGAAACTCTGCGTTCCAATAATTAGTAATTTGGTCACTGATCTGGAAAGCTAACCTCTGCTATTCGTGCGTGTCCTACACACCATTGATAATTAAAAACACTGCGGGACGTTAATTAGGTGGATTCTTGAAAAATGTCTGCTGTTTGAAGATACCTTAATACTTAATGTTGTTCTCTAAGATCTATACTGTCTATACTATGTCTGATCTATACTATATCTATATATCTGTCATTAGTTTTAAATTATTCTAGGATTCGCGGAAACTGACGAAATATCACATCATTAATATTGTCTGTATCTCACAAAATATATTTACAAATAGAAGTCGTTGTGGTCTAAACGATAAGACGCCCTGTGTACCGTATAAAGCGACGCAGCTTTTTTTATAATTGAGGGATTACTGGTGGCCAGGAGGACTTTCCAATTTCACCAGAACAGGCGGGCGAGCAGAGGCTTAGCCAGGAGGGGTGGGATTAGCTAACAGCTGCCCGAGCGCCTCCAAAGGAGACCTAACAACTCAAGAGCAACTGCTTCGCGAATGAGAGAGAGAGTGAATACACTTATTGCACACCAAAACACAACTTACATTCAAAAAACAGTCAAAAAGCAGATACATTTGCACAATATGCGGTCTTTTCGGTAAAATCTCTTCCAGACAACCGTTTAATTTACAGAAATTCCGGAAAATATAAAAATATAGCAGGTATCTTGCGATGCGGCGAATGAATCTACTGCCAGATCGGAATCGCGACCCACTGAGAAGTTCCTGCGAGAAACTAAGCGGGATGATGTTTAGTTTAGGTTGCACATACATCTCTTTGCGGAGTTCGACGAGTACGGTTACCGGGGTCCCTAAGCCTGCTCCTAGCGTTAGCTGAAGGCCTAATGCAAGAGTTATTGGATCCGTAAGGACGTGTACTACGCAATTGTAACAGTGTTCAAATCCCGCAGGTAGCTAACAATCATTTCAAGGAAATACGTACTTAGCAAGAAACTAAAACAAAAATACCTTTTTTTATACAAATTTATTAACTATAAACACATAGTTTACAAGTGCTTTTACAAATAAATTCCTGTTTAAAATAAATTCTAGATTTATAATTATTGTCTGCAAAATCTACAAGTACACCTATCCTATAAACAATGATATCATAATGAACATCTATAAACATTCGTCGTCCTAATATTAGAGAAAAAAAAGTGACACTAACTGAAGAATAAAGTCATACAATTAATTAAAGAGCAATTTCTAATGTAAAGAATGCTAACGCGATGGATTCTTGCTACTAATTTAAAATTTATTGATTTCCCATTATTTTAGTGCTATGCATCTATATGGATAATATGAGTAGAAGATGAACTTCATAAATAGCTTTGAACTCACGGAACACACTTTTTTTCTGAACCCTTTAAAGACGCATTTCTTTTTAAATAAACCAAATAATGCATTTCAATAAATTTTAAAATCGTAAGAACCCATCGTTTTTATAAATTTCGTGATATCATTAGTTTTGAACCAACAATTCGTCTTTGACTCCGTATCTAGCTAGATAGTCATCGAGCCATTTTTCTATGACCGGTATGTTCTCGATGGACCATTTGGCTTCTTCGCGTATCTTCTTCATGGAAGTCTCTATGATGTGTTCGGCAGACCCGAATTCGCCCTGGTGAGCTACGTATAAGTTGGACACTAGATCGAGTCCCTCTTGGGTCGTGAATTGTCCTGTGGCTGCCGAAATCAGACTGTCCCATAGATTCGTTTTGCTCGCGAACCTGGAGAATTGACATATTTTTGTTCTCGTAAAATCTTATACATTTAAACGAGCAATTCTTGTAACTCAATTAGTATACAGGGGATTACGGGGGCGATAAATCGATCTAGCTACGATTTATTTTCAGAAAATGTTGTTTTATTCGTGTTTTCAATAATCAACTTTATCGATAATCAACTTTATGACTCTTTCCGACATCTGTTGGCGAATAATAATACTATTTTTCTTAATTGAGGGCAACTAACCGCTTTAAAGACACAACAAGATGGAATTATCAAAAAAAAAAACCAGCAAAGCTCGGTCATCATCTAGTAATTATAATTTAAAGAAGGAGTTCTGGTAAATGTTTTGCATTACGAGATCTGTGTGTAAGATGTTGCTGTCTCGTATATGTTTCCAATAGACCCATAACACAAGAAAAATCCTAGCTTAAGACTTTTATATATTGGACGTAATAATAATGACTAGATTTGAAACTACGTCACATGCGCGTCTAATATCGAACCAAAAAATGAACACAATCTTCTTCATTCTCAACCCTAGTCACGCATTAGTCTCGAGAGGCTAGCCCTGTTTCAGTACATGGCTAATTAGTTTTATATTTCATTTCCTGAACGCGAATGTAGTTAAAGAAGCTATCAGTATGTTTATTGAACAACAGGGATGTATTCGTGGCCCATCTGATGTTAAATACTTACATAGGCCATAGGCATCACAACTTAAATGTCGCTACTCCACTCCTACCACCATTTTTACTGGTGGTAGGATCACTTGTGAGTCCGTATGGGTAGGTACCACCACCCTGCCTATTTCTGCCGTGAAGCAGTAATGCGTTTCGGTTTGAAGGGTGGGGCAGCCGTTGCAACTATACTGAGATCTTAGAACTTATATCTCAAGGTGGGTGGCGCATTTACGTTGTAGATGTATATGGGTCCAGTAACCACTTAACACCAGGTGGGCTGTGAGCTCGTCCACCCACTTAACTAGATTTTTTATCGCCCTTGTAGGCATACGAACCATACGGGCCTACACGATGTAAGCTGGATACTGGTACTTGGCACCAAAATACTAGCTAGTATTTAATTCGAAAGTATATTAGTACTCACTTCTCCTTTAAAACTGCCCAATTGTTGTTCAAGAAATGGAACAGGGTCGTGTACCCCTGTGATCCACCAGTAAGCATACTGAATATGAGGAAGAGATCCGTATCAGTGAAGTTGCCGTTTCCTTCCAGCAGCGTTATGTTCAGGAGCCTGTTAATCTTGTACTCTTCAATGGGGCAGCCAGCTAAAGTCTTCAGGAGGTAAGTTCTTTCACTTTGCTTCCTCGACGGAGGAAAGTTGATGACGCGCTGAAGGCCAAATTCCCATTCCTTTCTGGTACCGTACGTGAAGACCGGGCCAATGTACTGGTTTGCAATTCTATTCATGAACAAGTAACATAATTAGAACGTTAGAATGAGGTTGCGTGGCTAAGCAGTTGATGCGGGCGTGGTGATTTAATAGGCAATAGATATAGCCACTATATATAGTCTGTGGTAGAGATACAGAAAGCTCGCTGGACTTTTTGGCGAGAACACGTGGAGTGAAGTTGTGTGATTTGTTTTATTTTGTCTATTTAGTGTTTCTTCAGGTTTAAAAGTGTCATAACGGTGGTTTATTAACTGTTTAATCTGTGAAAGTGCACAAATGTGGGAAAATGAAACAAAGCCGCTGGACGTAACTTCTCGGAATCCTCCAAAAAGTCCACCGAAAAAATCTCAGTAAATGACCACCATTTTATTGAAACTATATTTCATCCTATACCATCTCATTTCATTTAATTTCATCCCAGTTGATTAAGTCTCAAATTAATCATCTTCATTTCATTTCATTTCAATCCATATTATCATTTTTCATTAATTAAGAATATAAATTATAATAAAATAAGACATGACTTAAAGGTCTTAGTTACCAGGTCATAAAAACCCTTAAAAAAAGAAATCCCGCCAAAACTGTACCGGTAACACGTAAAATTGCGCTCTTCATATTTAATTGCAAAATGCTGTAAATAACATTGCTAGTTCACTTAAAATGCAACTTGCAAAATTGTTTTTTTTTATATTTATTAAACATAAGTTTCTTTCCTAATAATGTTCTCGTGTCATAACTTAACACATTGACAGGTCGTGTAGGTCACCGGTGACCTACACGACCTGTCGATTTCTGTTACTAAGGCGTCTGGATTGCTTGAGTTTGCCTTCTTTTGTTTATTTGTTAATGTATGTTTTAGTATTTTACGCCTCTTAGATATAGACTCATTCTCAGTATCTTTGAATTCGTCTTTCCCAGAGTTTACTAGATATTCCAGCGCCTTATTAAGAAGATCGAAGAGAAAATCAACATAATTACTACAGTGCGCCGCGTAGATCACCGGTGACCTACACGCCAGTCAAAGGATTAATTTTCCAACATATTGCGAGATGGTGATATTGTCAATGAGTTTCTAGCTTGATACTAACGTAAAGTCACTAAACAAATTATTATCATTAACCCGAAAGAAATAAATTTATCAAAGCTCAGTCAATCTTCTCAAGAGAATCGTCGTCTTATACAATTACTTTGAATACGAGCGTGATCTTTATCAAACACAACCAACGGATATCCTACACGCGGATAATAGAATGGTAATTTAGCAGAAAATCGTGAATTACGCGAACACAAAGCCATTTTCTTTAATGAAACATACCCACGCTGGTCTGGTAATTGATTTGACATAGAACATGGGAAAGCATTGATATAATAATTTAAAAGGTAATGAATGATATAATTATTGACTATTCTCTGACAGGACGACGAAGTTTAATATTTAAAATAAGTTTGGTAGGCAGCGGCTTGGCTCTGCCCCTGGCATTGCTGAAGTCCATGGGCGACGGTAACCGCTCACCATCAGGTGGGCCGTATGCCCGTCTGCCTACAAAGGCAATAAAAAAATTAAAAAAAAAACTGCTTTCATGAACTTAACAATAGGGCGGTGAAAAATCATCGCCATCTTGGCTATTTCTGTCGCGAAGCAGCAATTTTTTTCGAATAGTAAGACAGCCTTGCTATATTACATTATTATTACAATATATTCAAGACTTCTTTCAGTTGTCACAACGTGGACGATAGCGCTTACATCTGTTGGCTCCTGTAAACATTTAAAGCTTTTTACTGGTGGGAGGACGCCTTGTGAGTCCGCACGGGTAGGTACCACTGCCTTGTCTATTTCTGCAGTGAAGCAGTTGTAGTGTAGTACATATAAGTCTTGTAATTTGTAATAATAGAGTAGTATTAAACCAACACTTGGACAAGACAGCTGTTTTCATTCGAACTAGAAACTCCCATCATGGCGACCCTGCCATGCGTTTCTGTTTGAAGGGTGGGGCAGCCGTTGTAAGTATACTGAGGCCTCAGAACTTATATTTCAAGGTGGGTAGCGCATTTACGTTGTAGATATCTATGGGCTCCAGTAGCCACTTAACACCAGGTGAGCTGTGAGCTCGTCCACCCATCTAAGCAATAAAAAAAAAACCTGCTGCTGCAGCTGTGAATTCATCAAATGATCTACAGCAATAACAGTTACTCCCCAACATTTTCCCTTTTTCAACATAAATGTACAACAACGTTTCCAAAATAGACGACCTTTTCAAGCGACCTTTAGCGTTATTATGAACTTAACTATCTAATCATATGCATATGTGTATGTCTAAGCCACGGAATATTTCACCGAAATCTAATCATTGGTTTGATTAATTGTAATTTCAAATTTTGTTGAAATAATTTGAGGATTTATTGAAAGGACCGATTATTGTTTGTTTTATTGTAGATTTTACGGCCTGGTAACGAGACTTTTAAGCCAATTTTCTTCTTACATTCTGTTATAGCATGAAAAATAACATGAAGCGAAATCCAATGAAATTAATTAATTGAAGACTTTAATCAATTGGGATGAAATGCAATGAAACATGACGAAACGAGATGAAATATTGTCTGCAATCTATTTAAATATATGGTTATTTACTGAGACTTTCAGTGGACATTTTGAAAGGCCTCGAGAAGCTTTGTCTAGCTTCATTGTTTCATTTTCCTACATTTGTGCATTTTTACAGATGCTAAACAATTAATAAGCAACCGTTAATACACGAACAATGAAGAAGCACTAAATTAACAAAATAAACCAATTCACACAACTTCACTCCTCGTGTTCTCGGCAAAAAATCCAAGACCGATTTTAACACAACGATTTTATTAGTTCGGCCTTACATTAGACTATATTTTTAGGATAAGATTTGTTTAAAAAAATCGGTTGTCTGTAAAGTCGGTTTACTGACGATAGTTGAACGTGACAACGTCATAAGAAAATACTGATGGAATGGTTTCATTTTTCAAAAGAAAATTTTAATTTTTTTTGTTTGATAGATATTTTGTACGGACAATTGACACCACATTCACTTTTCACTGAACTTCATACTTGAGGAAAACATGTAAATTTTATGTATTATTGTATAGCAGCTGTCCACGCAGATGCATCGCTCACTCAAGTAGGAGAGAGACAGATGTCGAACGCTGCCGAACGCAGAGGCCGATTGTGCCTCTTTGTCGCTCGTTGCGCGCTCTCGCTTGCACTTCAAGCCTCATGGCTCATGGAACGCCTCAACGAGTCATGTTTTTTCGTGCGTGCAACCGGCTGCATCGAATTATAAGACGTTGTCACGTTAATATTCGATCTAGAAGTCTCTAAAGATATGGTACGCGTTAGAAGTTATTTTTCCAAAAAACAGATACGACCCGATGGCTCTGCTTACGGAAATTACGTGATACTTACGGGTTTCCTTCATCAGGATTCTTAGCTTGCATCCATTTAGCGTAGTGTTCCTGGGCGTCCTTGACACAAGGCTTGTACCCGTTGCTGCAAAGAAAACTTTTCACAGTGCACCTCAGATTCGTTTTCCACTTCTCTTCGCCTTCCTTCTCTTCTTTTCCTAGTTTTTCATAGATTTGCAACAAAAGATGTCTACCGTATGCCTGTGAAAATTGAACCTTATGAATAATGACCGACTTTCTCATTTTCTACTTTGTTACTTTAAATTTTAGTTCTTTTGCAAAAATAAATATTGTGTAAGAGCTTGCGGGAGCGTTACGGAAGCATTTTTAATAAGTTAATGTTATAATTTTATAGAAATACGGGCTCCAGTAACCATATATTACATCAGTGCATATGTTGTGAGTTCGTTCATTCATTTGAGTAATGAGAGAAAAAAGAAAAAAATGTGCCGCCTCCTAATTTATCCTCAGGCAGAACAGTTGAGATGCACCTACATTTAAAACTACAAAAACGAAAAACTATCTTATAACTGGACAAGACTGAACGCCACCCACCATGAGGACTGAGATCGAATTCTTCATTTTATTGCATGACGACTGCGCCATCTTTCCAACCGGAACGCATGAATGCTTCGCAGCAGAGATAGGCAGGATAATTATAGCTAATGATACCGTACCGGCTTACAACTCATCAAGTGAGCGACGATTTGGTATATTTGTAAAAGTAATCAAATAGGCTTGTATTATTCAAATTGTTAAACAAATTATTTTTTCGCTAATTTAACGCAGCGGTAGGCACCGGCTTGGCTCTGCCCCTGGCATTGCTGAAGTCCATGGGCGACGGTAACCACTCACCATCAGGTGGGCCGTATGCTCGTCTGCCAGCAAGGGCAATAAAAAAAAACTACCATATTCCCTCAAAGGTGAACAGACAAAAAGTGATCTATCATACCTGGAATTTTCCTTGAATACACATACAAATATGCCTTCCGACATGATCCAGCATAGGAAACACAGCCTCCCAGACCAAATGGTCTTCCTCCGTCTTCAAAAATAAAGTCATATTCAGCGCAGTGGCAAAGGAGAGTTCACCGGCATAAGCCAAGTTCCATGCGTCGTGTAAAAGTTTGGCTCGGGTTATGGCTGGGATCTGTGTGCGCTTTTCACTCTGCAGGAACTTGGATAAGAGATACCAAGTGTCCTTGTCGTAGTTCACAAGGTAAGGTGCTGGAATGTTACACGAAAAAATACAATCAATAGCAGTACAATGTATTAACAAGTTGTTATGTAGTGATTAGAATTTAGATTAACTAGTACCAATGTACTGGTTACAGTTACTATTGCCAATGCAACAGTGATAAACTAGTTGAGGATTAAGTACGTATGTTGTGCGCCCTAGTAGATGGCGAACATCATAATGTGAGTGCCGTCGCCAAATTAAATATATGAGAACGACTCCCAACTGGAGAAATAAGTAGAACAGCAGAAAAAATTAATTTCGAAATACTTAAGGAGATCACAACAAGATTTAGGCAGGAAAATAAGGAAGCTATGGATGATATCATTGACTGGCTGTGCCTCTGACATCTACCACCAGGAGAACTATAATTCGTTTACCCATCATGGCAATAAAAAAACGGAAAGATTACCAGAATATCGAAGAAGCCTAACTTCTAATTCATAATTAAATATCACGTAAGATCGCAATTCGTCTAACTTAATCTGTGCAATGTTAGCATTTTATTGCCAGTGACAATGTGATGGTAATAAAATATGTATCTTGCACACAGGAATATATTTGATTGACATCCGAACTCTGAAAAACTAGATTGTCACTGTTTAATGTATTTAGTTTCCTGTTATTCCTCACAATACGGCACGAGTATAGAAAAATTGAATGCTGAAGAAAAGTAGCCAAAAAATATTCCTAATAATGAGATTTATCGTAAAATACTAAACTTGTACTTGACATGCTGAGATAAATGATTATTTACATATTTTTTTTATTGCTTAGATGGGTGGACGAGCTCACAGCCCACCTGGTGTAGTGGTTACTGGAGCCCATAGACATCTACAACCTGAATGCGCCACCCACCTTAAGATATAAGTTCTAAGGTCTCAGTATGGTTACAACGGCTGTCCCACCCTTCAAACCGAAACGCATTACTTCACGGCAGAAATAGGCAGGGTGGTGATACTTACCCATGCGGACTCACAAGACGTCCTACCACCAGTAAGCTTTAATGAAGATTTGCTTTAACCTATGAATCCTATTAGGGTAGAGAAGGCACTCTGAATTATCACTCATTTAAGCACCAATTTCAATTTCTCGATAAGTTTTCCACATGGCTCTTTTATATTTGTAATGTAGAATGTTGGATTGCGTACCGATCTCTTCGGAGTTGATAATAATGAACTTGTCCTTGGTTGGCATATCATTGATAGTCAATTCCTTTACGTTCTTCATCCAAACTAATGGGGTAGTTTTACTGAAGTCCAGATTATCCTCTCTTACGATCACAACCGGGAGCCACCACGTCAACCTGTCCGCGTCTGGAAGGTCGTGTGGACGATCTCGTAGGAATACTTTCTGTGAAACATGTAAAATTTATGGTCGCGTTATTAACAGTATTTCTGTTTATACCCCCAAATCAATATCCACCGCGACACATGAGGTGGAACTCTCAATAAAATTGGGATATTTGCTAAACCACATTTCAGTTTAAGGGCGTTCACAGTTAGCAATACAAGCCTAGTACCTACTCTCGATGCCTTTAAACCATTAGAATATATATGACCTATAAAGGCTTAACAAAGTAGCTGAGGGATTAGATAACACTAAGACACATAATACCAGTTTAGTTTAGCACATCAGCTACTATTTCGGGCTGAAATTAATAACTTCACTTTTGCCTATATTCAAAATTTCTTTGGAAGTGTTATCTTCGAAATGTCGTATTTAATATTGAAATCCGAATTACTGTGCGTCACCTAGCTGAGTTGAATATGAAACTGGAAGGCATGTAATGAAAGCCTTCCAATTGAGTCCTTCTGCTTCTACTAGGGTAATACCACCGAGTTAAGATTCATTAGATTAAGATAAAGATTTATTTAAAAAAATTATCTAATATTTAAAAAAAAGACATGCCCGATGAGTTTCTTGCCGCCAGTTGGCGGTAGTTCTTTTGACGTTCAACAAGTATGTACTTTCATTTATGTTGAATAAATTTTTTTGATTTGATTTGATTTGACTTTTCTTAAGTTTTCTATAATCGTGTCGTCGTTTTAACCTACAATTGTCATTTAAAGGTACCAACTAATAATGAAACAATCCAGACCTGAGTAAGTACAACAGTCTTCCCATCATTCTTCCTTTCAACAGTCAGAAATGGCAATCGATCTTTCTCGATCCAGCTCTTGGCTACAATTTTCAGATCTATGTCTTTGCTGATTTTACCGTCGTCAATAGCAGATTTAGTTAGCGCATTCCATATGTCGTCACCAACAAAAGTCTTGTATTTACTAAAAATATAATTAAGAATTGAAGAAAGACATGAGTGGATGTAAGGGTTGAGTACCATATTTAAGATTTTTTAGTGTTTACATTGAATGAAGGTGTAGGCAAATAGCCTATAAACCATATTAGACCTTAAAACTCCGGGTTCAAAGGCTATTTTTAGAAATCTCATGTTATGTACGAAGAAAAAGTACATGTAACAAAAGTTTGTTGACCGTTTTCTCAAAATTAACAAATTGTATCATATCCCCTTCGTCCACTCATGTATTCAACTATCATTAATCCAAAAATAATAAAATGAATTGACTTTCAACAATCGATTCGGTTATAATCTTTATATCTAGTATAACCATGTCAACCACCAACACTAAATTCCTAACTAAAATTTTACATAGCCTCCCTCTACAATTTCCATCAATAGCTTGAACCTCTCATAATTTCTCAAAGCTTTGTTAGCAAATTTTAATTACTTCTACAAAATACTTTTGAATTATAATTTCGATCGACGATATGACGATGGATCATCATTTTAAAGTCCTCATAGTTTGGTTATCTTTTTCTGCCACATAGACAACCTCTCTCATCTAACAAGTACCATTACTTGGTAAAAAGACAATCCAAATGTTTTTATTCGGAATAACATGTTCTACAAAGTTATATTGTATATACTAAAGATGTCAGTCTGTCCATTTAAGTTGAGTTTCAACAAAAAAAAAACGGACCCCTAAATGGCGGCAGAATAATAACGCAATATTAAGACTTACTGTTCAAGCAAGAAAGTCCTTAAGCCTTTCTTCAGTGTATTTCCACCGAGTGTATAGTTCAATGTCCTGAACAGTAATGTTATTTTGGTCGCAATAGCGTCTTGCTTTATACCAGTTATTCTTGAATGCGGATAACGTTTGCTGTACTCATAGTAAATAGAGTAAAGGCCACCGATGGGCCGGTCTCCGTCCATGTCCGAGCCATTGTTGATCTGATGAGAATATCATAAATTAGAGATAAAAATCATTGGGTTAACACATTGAGTGCTTACCACTCGTATCCGAGTGGGGAGGGGCCCTATTAGCGGTGCTGCCCACTCGGATACGAGTGAGCAGCAAGTGAATTTTGTAGTTGTCATAAGCCGCTGGCGATTGTGGTGAGTGTACGTTGGTTTGCGTGGCCACTCTGCCAATACATTCGACTTACGAAAACGCGTATTGGTTTTATATTTACAGTTTAATAGTGACTGGTACACACGATCATATCAAAGGTATTGTTCGATCAAAATGGATAGTAGGGCTGGGCCATCTAGAAGTAAAAATAGATCGAAAACATCAACACCTAGTAGTAGAAAAAAACGTTGGTTGAGTGATGACTCGGAAGGTTCTGAAGGATTTAGTGATGAAGAAGTGTGTTCGCAACGAGCTCAGGAGGAGCAGTTGTCTTCAAGTTCAGAGGAATCTAGTTGCGGCAGTGATGACAGTATCTTTGATACAAGACTGAAACTGAAAACGCTCAGCCGTGGACCACCAGCTCAGTCTTCAAGGTCATCTGCCGCAAAGACGACGAAAAATTTTGTTTTAACTTTTCTGTGAAGAAATCACCTTCAGTGTTTTAATTAAACTTATAATTATGATTTTTATACGTTTGATTGTATTGATAATTATGATTATATCATTGCTTCGCTTAGATTTAAGACATTTATGCCTTCTTAAATAAATAACCATTAAGTGCGTGTTATATTTTAAACTTAAGCTTATAATTATGATTATATCGTTACCTACTTTGCTCAGATTTAAGATATTTATACCTTCTTAAATAAATAACCATTCAAGTGCGTGTTATATTTTAAACTTAAACTTATAATTATGATGTTTTTGATACTTTTGATTGTACTCGGATCCGAGAAAACACCTTTTTCGGATCCGAGTGTCCGGCATTTGGCGTGCTATGTGCCGACCACTCGGATCCGAAAAAGGTGTTTTTTTATTAAAATAATAATATTATCAACATACTTTCATCCATATTTTTAAACATACATATATACTTAATCAATATACGCTATAAAAATAATCGGTTTCTGGCTAATAATTTTATATAATTTCGTCGGCAGCAAATGTGTTAAAAGAAATCATGTAGGTAAGCTGGGTTACACATTATTCTTTCCTCTTTGTGTTAAAAAGTGCTTACTGGTAGTAGGATGTGTTGTGAGTCCGCACGAGTAGGTACAACCACCCTGCCTATTTCTGCCGTGAAGCAGTAATCTGTTTCGGTTTGAGACCTTAACACTCATATCTCAAGTTAGGCGGCGGCATTTACGTTGTTGATGTCTATGGGCTCCGGTAACCACTTAACATAAGGTGAGCTCGTCCACCCACCTAAGTAATAAAGTAATAAACAAAAAAAAAGTGGTTTAAGCTCTTTCGTCTCACCTTAGAGCGAAATAGAGAAACTGTATCCGAAAAAAGATAATAAACATCGTTCCTAACTTAAAAAGTTTATTAGCAAAAGAACAAAATTCTTTGAAGTTCATTCTGAACTAAATTTTACAATTTTGATAACCTTACCTCTACTAATACAATATACATTACCTTAAAATAAATCTCAACAGCCAAAGAATTGACTAAGGCTTTGTTTATATGAGCGTCGGACCACCAAGCAGGAGTCACGTACACTCCCAACCACTGGTACAGTACCTCATTGACTAGAAGGACAGTTTTACAGTTGCTCAACTCGCTCTCTCTGTGGAAGAATGATCGAGTATAAAAGTTCTAAAACTATCCTTGATGTGATCACTTGCATGATCATGAACTTAAAATTACAGAATACATAATAATTAAAATTTTAAGTCATCGTGGCCTGAAGGAAACCCGCAGGCGGGAAGGTACCAATTTTCTAATGAAATACGTACTTAACATTTGTTGTTGTTCACGATTGACTTAAACAGAGAAGGAATAGCATCGTGTAATAAAAATCAAACCCGCAAAATTATAATTTGCATAATTACTGGTGGTAGGACCTCTTGCGAGTACGTACGGGTAAGTACCACCACCCTGCCTATTTCTGCCGTGAAGCAGTAATGCGTTTCGGTTTGAAGGGTCGAGCAGCCGTTGTAACTATAATGAGACCTTAGAACTCATATCTCAAGGTGGGTGGCGGCATTTATGTTGTAGATGTCTATGGGCTCCGGTAACCATTTAACATCAGGTGGGCTGTGAGCTCGTCCACCCATAAAAGCAATTAAAAAAAATGGGATAAAGAAAGCCTTGCTTTTGCCCGATTTTTAAATTGGTCCGCAGGATATATGTAGCTATGAACACTATATTTTATTCGATGTAATCATAAAATGACTATTGTCGGAGGCGTTTCCTTTCTCAGAATTATTAAGTAAATACATTATCTCAGGATATTATTATAATCATAATAAACGAGATTATTAGTATCAATCGAATGACAATGGGGCATTGACACCTGTGGGTGGCGAGACTTAAATATCGTTGCTTCGTTTATTTTCAACAAGAACCCGGAGGATATCGGTGATAAGACACGCTTTATTAAGTACACAAGGAGCGAGAAAAATGATCGCAACAAAGATTTTTCGATCAGAAACATAAGGATCCTCTCTGCATAAATCTGTTTTACGCTAAAGTTTTTAGAAAAATAATTTAAAGAAGTATTTTTATTTAAATTTGTACTATGGATTGAAAAAAAGCATGGTATATATTCAACCTCTTATATATCGCGATCCATGGTTCCTAAGGAACGTGGATCTCCATGATGACCTGGAGCTTGACTCAGTCAGTAAGCATCTACAGTCGGCATAATTGCGCCACTTTGAGAAGGCGGCACGACATGAGAACCCTCTTGTCGTGGCCGCTGGAAATTGCATACCCGATCCTGTAGGCCGAATGGTAAATAGTCGACGTCGCCCAAAACACCTCATTACGGATCCTCCCGATCCATTAACGATGCTTTTAGATACCTCAAGCACCAGTCACCGTCCTCGTCAAACCCGTGGCTTGCGACGAAGGGCTCGACGAGCGAATTAGCCCACAGACACAATCCACTGAGTTTCTCGCCGGATCGCGAATATACTACCCTGGTCTTATTGACAAAATATTCCCCTTCATCTGCAGTTAATCTTCCTACCTTCCTTCCTAAATTTATCGTGAGTTCTGGTTTGTAATGTATCAAGATTATCACCAGTATCCAATCCCAATCAATACAAGGTGCTAATTGTCATTGGTTTGTTAGGTCGTCTGTCTACTTATGTGAATCAAATAAGACGCCAATAAAATACAGATACCAACTAACGTACTTACTTGAACACTATCAGGCCCCAGTTATCAGCCGGCCTGACGCCCTGGTAGTTTGGTAATGCGACCATATCCAATTTCTTTAGCGGTAAAGGAATTTGCCACATGTTCGCTACCTCACTGAACACTTTGAGGAATTTTTCGCCGACGCCGTCCAACGCTTGAAGGTATTCTTTTCGTCCCCACACGCGCAGTTCTGACACATGCGAAAAGTTCCAAATTAATTACGTAGAAGGTGAAGGTCCTACTAGGGGTAGGACCTCTTGCGAGTACGTACGGGTAAGTACCACCACCCTGCCTATTTATGTCGTGAAGCAGTAATGCGTTTCGGTTTGAAGGGTGGGGCAGCCGTTGTAATTATACTGAGACCTTACAATTCTTATGTCATGGTGGATGGCGGCATTTACATTGTAGATGTCTATGGGCTCCAGTAACTACTTAACACCAGATGGGCTGTGAGTTCATCCATCCATCTAAGCAATAAAATAAAAAAGTTTTTGAAACTATACTACTACTTTCTTTTTTCATTTAAATTTTATAATGAGTATTTGTAACTTGTTCGTTACTTATTGTAAGCCCCGAATCTACATAAGATACGATATGTGATGATGCGACAGTGCGGCATATTATCAAATCGACTAAATAATGATCTTAATAATCGTTTAAATAAAAACTGAAAACACTAGAGTATTTTCAAAAAAACAACTGCAACAAATGATTATTGCAAATTTGCAACATGCTCTCTTCAAAGTATTCTACATGTATCTATCTATAACTCACCAATATCGTTTCCATTGTCATCCTTGTAATGCACAGTGTTACCCAGTTGCTTTAAATCGGCGATGACTAGACCAACAGTAAACGTGGACATCGGAGGCGTTACCTCGAAGTAATCCGTCACTGCATTCGGTTCTCCGGTTCTAGAATACAATAGGAATATTGGAGCTTCTTAAGGCTCAGCCATATCTTCCACATTGCATACGTACTTTGGTAGAAATTTGAACAAGGACTCATACGAACGTAAAGTGGAATTGTCGTGTGAAACGCGATATAATAACGAGTCTTAAACTTAATACAGACATCTCAACCACTTGCTTAGTGAACGAAATAGATTGTGCCAACCCTAGTATGAGCACCTCTTTTCAACAACTATGAAGACTCAGGGCTGGCGCAATACAGTATCTTCGGCTGCAGCCTAATTTGATATAGAGATGAAGCTTGTGATACACTGCAGTACCTAACGACTGTGACCCAATACTTCGAGAAATAACAGATAAGATTGTGGAGCTACTAACATGCCAAAGAAAATTTTGGTGTAATTTCATATACCCACATATTCTCGGTTCTCGCGATCGGAGTATTGCTGAGGGCTACCATGTTCCGGGGTCGTGCTACGCTGATTTCGAACGGGGTCTTGTATCCCGGCTCGTCGAAGCAGGGGAACATACGCCGCGCGTTGTTTGGACGAAGCTGTGTGGCTGCTACCATACTGTTTAAACAGGCACATTTTCAGTTTCTTTTTTTTAAATCGTTTCCTTCGCCGAAGAAATCTGTTTTTGTTTCATTCGGTGTCGAGACCTTTGGTCCGTGGGGTCCTAGTGCTCTAAGGCCTTTTAAGACCGAAGAGCTGGCAGCTACCTCGGACACAGAATTAGTCTAGCTATTCAAAGGGGGAATGCTGCCAGTATCTTTGGAACCTTGCCTAAAGGGACTCCTTTTAATAATACTTGGTTCAATTCAACCCGATAAAGACACAAGTTTGCGCGTTCACTGCGAAGAAGGACCCCTTTGTCATAGCGCCGCAATTCCAAGGAGTATCCCTGCAACCTTCCGAGAGTATCGGGATACTTGGGGTCGACATTTCGAGCGATGTCCAATTTCGGAGTCATTTGGAAGGCAAAGCCAAGTTGGCGTCCAAAATGCTGGNTGAAACCAAAAAAAAAAAAAAAAAAAAAAAAAATATATTTTAGTCGGTTATCGTCCTTCCTATATTCATAAACTTCAAGCAATGTTAAACATATGTTTTTACTGGTGGTAGGACCTCTTGTGAGTCCACACGGGTAGGTACCACCACCCTACCTATTACTGCAGTGAAGCAGTAATGCGTTTCGGTTTGAAGGGTGGGGCAGCCGTTGTAACTATACTTGAGACCTTAGAACTTATATTTCAAGGTGGATGGCACAATTTACGTTGTAGATGTCTATGGGCTCCAGTAACCACCAAACACCAGGTGGGCTGTGAGCTCGTCCACCCATCTAAGCAATATAAAAAGGATGCGTGTACGTGTACGCGCGTAAGAAGTTATACTTTATTTTTATTAAATTTATTTCTTTTTTTTTAAATATTAAATAATTAATAATAAATATTTAACGTTAATAATTTAATGATATTTAGTATAAATTATATTAAATAATAATTTTGTCATTTATATTACTAAAAAATGAATGCTAATAACACTTTTTTTTACGAGTGTACATGCGCGAAAATTCTCCTGCGGCTATATTCAGACTTGCCAAGTTACGTCGATCGTATTGTAATGAGCGATTTAGTGGGTAACTTCATTTCTGTTAATTTTGTGTCACGGTGTGCGCGCATCGTAAAATTTCACTCTCATTATTTTTTCATAACGCGCCTAAAGAAGTATAACTTAAAAAAAAAATTGAAAGGAACGTACAAGATGAGTGTCAAGTTTTGTATGACTCAGTACTTGAGAAGAATCGCGTTCACAATTTGTTAACAGATGCTTCGTTCTTTCCTTGAAACTCGTTATAGTCAATTTAACTCAATTTTTAGCGTAGCAGAAACATCCACGGCTTCCGGGATATGGGAATTGCAGTCTTAACGTGCACAAAATAAGCCGCGTATTTCCTTAAACGACTAGTTCTTTGAAGATGTAAAATTGAACGCAGTAAAATACAATAACTGAGGAATCCCTGACGGGAATTTTCGACATTTCACTGTAGTATGCGTCTATCTTTGGAATAAACAATATTTAACGCCATTTCTAATGGCGGTACAATAAGTAAGAACTCTTCCGGACTCAAAACACGCATCGCCAACAAGCATCGGTAATTTATAAAAAAGGTTCTCACGTACATTTTCACACGCGTAAAAATAAGAGCCCATAGACATGTACAACATAAATGCGCCACCCACCTGAGGATGTAAGTTCTAAGGTCTCAGTATAGTTACAACGGCTGCCCCACCCTTCAAGCCAAAACGCATTACTGCTTCACGGCAGAAATAGGCAGGGTGGTGGTACCTACCCGCGCGGACTCATAAGAGGCCCTACCACCAGTAAGTTCTAAGTATGTTATCACATTTAATAAGTTTGCCTACAGCTAGTTTTCAAATATATAAGTGTGCTTAGTGCGAGTTTTTTAACGTTCTCGATCGCGTAAAAGTTAACTAGAATTTGTATGGAGTTGGAACAGCGCCCCTACCGGCAAACGTAGGCAACTGTTCCAGCTCCGACTCAACTCCGTTTCCAACTTCCAAGGAAGGTTTTCTAACATACAGATTGCATAAGAAAACTTGTCTATGACGTCACCGGCATTAAAACACGTACATCAGAGTGAGTTAGCAAGATTTTAACAATACGCACCCGAGTACTTTAAACCATTTTTTTTTGTATTTTGAAACTTTTATTACATCGTCTCAAACTTTTTCGTCTGTGTGTTGCATGTCGCGTGACGGTCGGCCGCGGAGTAAGGATGAAGTGAAAGGCGCTCGTCAGAGCAGCCAAGGCCAATATGGCGGCACCTATAGTTCGCAACAGCTGACCGTGTAGTGTATAGATAATTACCACTATTACCTACTCATTTGTGCCAGTGCCCCACGCTATTTTGTTTGTTTTTGTCGGTAATTAATATAAATGTTGTTTGCCAGAGTTAAATGTCTATAACGTGAAAAAAAGTTTCACTTTTATTATGTTACATACATCTCTTCACTCTGATCTGTCGTGTACGTAGATTTGAAGAATCCCTCGGTGACACCCATGTGAATATTGCCTCGATACGTCAACTCTATATGTCCTTCGGTTCCCTTGGGGATCGGTTTTTCGAAATACAAAGTTAATATCGGCTTTTTGACGTCCATACGAAGCTCCTTCACAACGACACGTTCTACTGGATGTTCCCTGAAATATTAATTAACACTTCAATTCAATTCGATAAAACATAAACATCAGCTAAAACTACTGTTACAACTTAAGCTCGCTTTTATTATTGCCAATAATTCGAATACAGTTTGCGTTTTCACGCATGATCAAGGTCTTATTCGTCGACATTTAAATATTGTGATAACTAACGTTAATTTAAAAAAGAAAATAATTACTCGAAACTTTTGTTTTCTTTGGACATGAACTAACAGTATGTTGAGGTCTCACAGTTTGTTTCACTACACTAACGCAGATAGGCTAATGTATTAGACTTTTTATTTATATTTATTCAGTGTGTTTTTTCTTACTTGATATAGCCATTTTTTTATAACTGAAATATTTCCATTAAATAAAGTGAAATGCAACACGAAGGTGAGTAGCAGGTACCATATGGTGATGTCGTGTACTCATAAAAACAGATGGTTAAAAAGATACACGAGAAAGCTTCTATCGAAACGATCTGCGTAAGAAATCTACTTCAAATGCTACTACTGCAGAACAAGAGAATTTAAATCAGTCTTCAGCAGAGCAGTATATTACCTTTTTTTTATTGCCCTTGTAGGCAGACGAGCATACGGCCCACCTGATGGTGAGTGGTTACCGTTGCCCAGAGACTTCAGCAATGCCAGGGGCAGAGCCAAGCCGCTGCCTACCGCAAACCGCTGCCTACCGCAAACCTACCTACCTATTTGGTGAGTGGTCACTGTTGCTCATTGATGTCACCAATACCAAAAGTTCAGCCAAGTCGTTGGTTACAATGAGTACTCTACGCATACCTCTTTTGAACATTGACTTTTTTTCTTACCCTAACTATTCGCCGGTAGTCTAATTGGCTACCCGGTCGAGGCAACACTAGCCCTAGCAAGAGGAATACTTCGCTGAATCTACTACCGGATTGGAATCGCAACCCACTAAGAAGATCCGGCGTGAAACTCAGTGGGCAGTGTAAACATTGTCATAACGCTTAGGAAACACCGTCGAGGGAATTTCATTTTAAAGCCAAATGGTACATGGCAAAAAGGATCCTCCGAAATGAGCCGATAACCTACCCAAGTAAGTGGTACGGACCACTTCGTTGGGTAGCTGGTCGCCAGGAATACCAGAAAAACGAACCGTTGCTTCTCGAATGAACGATACAATTCTCGAATAAACTACAGCTTTTTTGTCGAGTAAATGTATGAACAAGCTCATATCGGGTATAAATTTGTTACCAGGGTCCATAGTCATCGCAAAGTGAATGCCCCCATCCATCTTAAGACATGCGGTCTACATCATAATCGTATTACATAACGGCTGCCCCACCCTCGTAAGCAATATGTATTGCAATAACCCCTAAACCAGTAGATGCCGGATACCGCAGTACGTTGGCATAATATTCAATAGCGGTGTTGTGCGTTCGCTCTTAGTCGTCTTTTATGACAACATCAGGACAAGGCCCGCCACCGCCTGTTTTTACCACCGCCCCGCCTATTTCTGCCGTGAAGCAGTAATGCGTTTCGGATTGAAGGGCGGGGCAGCCGTTGTGAATATACTGAGACCTTAGCACGATATCTCAAGGTGTGTGGCGCATTTACATTGTAGATGTCTATGGGCTCCAGTAACTACTTAGCACCAGGTGGGCTGTGAGCTCGTCCACACATCTAAGCAATAAAAAAATAAAAAAAGGAAGATGATATTTTAAGTGGGCGCCACAAATCTCCTACTGTTTTAAAAGTGACTCGTTAATAATCAAATACTGACGCGTCAGACGCTGGATACGCTTGTACGTCCCAAAAGCTAATGCCAAGCTCATGGTCACAGTGCAAACTGAGCTCATCGGACTCTTGCAGCCACTTCAGTTGAATTTTCACGGTTCCTCTGTAGACTCCGTCGTCGAGGAACGGCTCTAAGTCCAGCTTGTATCCAGTCGGCTCCACGATCTTCTCCAAACGGGTTTCCATAGCGAGCCCATATGCGTTATTGAGGTCGATGCTTCTTGCTTTGATAATGTGACTAGCAGATACCTGGAGGATGCAATTATTAACAAAATTGTAATTGTTTTAATTTAATAAAATAATAATTGTTTGTGTATTGGTCACTCTGTTAACTCAGTACCTTATGCTTCTACTGAATTGAGATCGAAAGAATGAATGAAAGCATGAACGAATAAATGAAATTTTGAATAAAATAATGAACTACAAACTGGAACACATTAATGTTTTACTACAGAAATTGTCAAGATTGTCCTGATCTCTAATAACAAATGCTTTCACAAACGAAACAGGCCTAGTTTTACTTTAGAATTGAATGGGAACAAATCATTTATGAGAACATAGTATATCGACAAAATAGCTGTTTAAAGATATGTAATACCAGAAATAGCCGGCTTTATCGGTTCCCAAAAGATGAGCTAATTGATGAACTCGCTAATAGTTATAGTGGCCACTAAACTGACTGCACTTAGCACTTTCTGATGTATCATGGATTCTTAGATTTTCAAAGACCGTATTAAAAATATGTAGTAGGTTTCCAGTGTACTCTAACACCAGTGGCAGCACATCGTGTTATATGTAGTATCAAACAAGTTTCTTTTAATACGTCTATTTATCTATTGATATATCTCGCTAAAACTCGAGAACGGCTGGACCGATTTGGTTATTTTTTTTATATATCATCTATATATCATTTTACTTCAATGTGGTCATTTAAGCACCTATTCTAAACTATTAGACAGCTACCAACAAGGAGGAACATCTACCAAGTAATTAACAACCTAGGTTAGTGAACTCAAAACACATTTTTGCATAGGTTTTACCGTAAATATTTACGAATCACAGACATGATCGAAATTTGATTGGAAAATATAGAAATTGGTCATTCGTTTTAACAGCTTTCTTGACCTCTGAAGAGCTTATTATATCTTTAAGCCTATACCGGACTAGATAGGCAGACAAGTTCAGCTATAAAACGGTTCCAACTCTTCGCAGCTCCAGAGCTGGTTGAGAAGTATATTTGCGGGTAAGACCATGTGATACATCTACAATGCTCAAAGTGTATTGACCAATAAAAGAAGCAAACGAATCAGTCCGCAGTCAATTGAACATTGTAATCTTATTAAACGCTAACAAGTCGGGCCGAGTAGTAATAACTAACCTCTTCCGGTGGGAGGGAATACGCCACGCAGGCTCCCAGAGCCGCAAGCAGGATCACTTCTATATTCATCTTGTTCTAATCCTCCACGTCCTGTAAAATAAAAATAAAAAACGTGTATTACTAAGTAACTTTTCATGTAGCCGGAAAAAAGCATTACAGTAATGTAAACAAAAATAATCTATAATAATATATAAATCTACAGTGGTTTTTATGGATGTTCCGTTATAACTACTGAACCATGCATCCGATTGACTTGAAACTTGGTATCCATGTAGAAAATACATGTACTTAATGGATAGGCTAATATTTATATGAGTGTTGGACTCCCTAATAATAATGACAATAAATAATAATGTTAATTTTAAATGCTCAGCGAAGCGGGCGAGTAGTAGTAGTAGTAGTAGTAGGCTAGTTCTTTATAAAATTAATCTCGACAATAGCATAGCATAGATTTGGGTAATTGCTTGTAAGGTACTTTATTTATCTATAAAATTAATACAATATTAATTGAAATTTTGTATAAAAAAGTAGGGAATCTATCTACAACTAGAAAACTAAAGAAAACCACTAAAAAGTTTTTTTTTTCGTCGTGTTTAGAATAATGACAAAAGTATTTAAATAAATTATTGTTTTGTCTTTTTAAACGGAAAATTTTAAAGTTAAAACTGACGTCTTGAAGTTGGTGAAAATTGGCGGTCACAAAACATAATCTGAGTTTGATTTATTTATTTTTTATTGCTTAGATGGTGGACAAGCTCACAGTCCACCTGGTCTTAAGTGATTACTGGAGCCCAAAGACATCTACAACGTAAATGCAGCCACCCCATCTTGAGATATGAGTTCATAGGTCTCAGTATAGTTAGAACGGCTGCCCCACCCTTCAAACCAAAACGCATTCCTGCGTCACGGCAAAAATAGGGTGGTGGTACCTACCCGTGCGGACTCACCAGTAAAAGATAAAAGTAGATCCGGCACTTGGTCGTCATGTTGTAAATGGATATTCCTATTGCAAATGGTGATCGCATACTAAGGTGAACACGAAGATGTCCCCAAACAATAGTTCTCAATAGCATAAATGATAGATTAGCAGCTGAACCAACACAATTGGCTCCGATAATCTTTGAAGTGGGCAAGTTTTATTAGACTAAGCCCAAAAAAAAATTATTGGAAAATAGTACGGAACCATGCGGGCTACAACACAATACTAGCATCAGCAACGCCACCAACTATGAGTACCTGTGAACATTCGTGTGCACCCCTAGCCTTAGGCATTATTAAAGCGTTGAATCGGTGTCAATTATTGTATTCACTTCGGTTTTTGTGATTCGTTGGTGTAATTAAAGCTACTTTTACTGTTTGATATCGCGTTTATTATTTACATTTTATTATTAACACCGCGAAACTGTAAAGTATTTAAAAGTTGAGAATATTAAATCGTGAAATGAAGTCTTAAATATTAAATAGTCGGTTTCATTTGTAATTACGAATTTATTTTCTGTTTTAAGTTATTATCGTGTTTACTGTACTCGCGCAAAATTTTGTTACAACAACTTTGGTTTCTCGAACAAATTCTTTCAGAAGTAGGAATTTATTTAATAACCTTAGTTATTGTGTTTATGAAATTACTTATTTGTAACATGGTCATTATCATTTAGCTTAAACAAGTTAATGAAACAAAATAGTAAGAAATATCAAAATCATTAAATACCAATATTGTGTTCACACAGGCTAACACTGATTTTAAATGTAATAGATTTTTTTTTATTCTACTTTTTTAGTGAAGATATTATGAGCGGAAGATAATGATAAAATGTATTGGTTATTTAAAATAAAAATCGAGTTAATTATTATTATAAAATTTAAACGATCTTAAAAAATATTGCAATATCACTCACGTGCCTTGAGGTCTGTCGGAGTGGCAGACCGCTTCTGGACCGGCCCCTCTCGATCCGATCCTCACCACGAGACAAATTGCAGGATGTACCTAATTTGCGCCAACGAAACGACATGATTCTATTAAGCTTGGTGTTTACGTGTACCTTTGAAGGTGTTTGCGATGAAAACGGATACGTCTTTTTAACTTGTCTGTCATTGCTGTGTATTCGTTTTAGGTCGGAGATAATAATTTAGGTTTTTTTTAACACTAGACCTGCCCTGTTGTTTTAGGCTATAAAGTAGCAACTCGGTAAACATTAAAGCTGCTGTTTTTTTGTATTTCCCGAACCAAAAAGTCCCTTGTGACAAACTGTGGTATTGAAGCTATCAGCACTTTTTTATGTTTGAGAGATTACTGGTGGTCCGGAGGCCTTTCCAGTTTTACCAGGTCAGGTGGGCGAGCAAGGGCTCAGCCGGAGGAGTGGGATTTGCTAACAGCTACCCGAGTATTCCCAAAGGAGACCTAAGAACTTAAGAGTAACTGCTTCGCGAATTAATCTACTAGCGGATCGGAATCACGACCCTCTGAGAAGATCCGGCGAGAAACTCAGCGGGCAAAACACTATCACTACATATCCAGATCCATTTATGGACTATGGATAAATAAACACACAGTAGTATTTGTCAGTAGTATTTGTTATAGCAGAAATACACGGAGCTTAAACACATCATATGTGTTAATCCTGATTAGGAATTATCTTTGTGCGAAGTTTGATTCAAATCCATTTAGCCATTATTGCTACAATACACGTTTGGTACACTTTTACTGGTGGTAGGACCTCTTGTGAGTCCGCGCGGGTGGGTACCACCACCCTGCCTATTTCTGCCGTGAAGCAGTAATGCGTTTCGGTTTGAAGGGTGGGGCAACCGTTGTAACTTACTTGAGACCTTAGAACTTTATCTCAAGGTGGGTGGCGCATTTACGTTGTGGATGTCTATGGGTTCCAGTAACCACTTGACACCAGATGGGCTGTGAGCTCGTCCACCCATCTAAGCAATAAAAAAATAATAAAAAAAACTTTTGTAACAAACTTACATTTTCACATTATAATTTATTTTTAATTGAAAAATTTACAAAACGATCATTAGACCTGTCGTGCTGTATGGATCTGAGTGTTGGGCGACGAAAGTAAAGCATGAAAGAGGAGTGCATGCGGCAGAGATGCGAATGTTGAGATGGATGTGTGGAGTGACAAGAATGGATAAGATAAAGAATGAGTATATCAGAGGAAGTGTGAAAGTGGCCCCGGTAAACAACAAATTAAGGAGCGGACGGTTAGCGTGGTATGGACATGTGATGCGTAGAGAGAAGATGCATGTGACTAGGAGATGNTTGAGATGGATGTGTGGAGTGACAAGAATGGATAAGATAAAGAATGAGTATATCAGAGGAAGTGTGAAAGTGGCCCCGGTAAACAACAAATTAAGGAGCGGACGGTTAGCGTGGTATGGACATGTGATGCGTAGAGAGAAGATGCATGTGACTAGGAGATGTATGGAAATGGTAGTGCAAGGTAGAGGGGGAAGAGGTCGACCGAACAAGACATGGATGGAGTGTGTGAATGACGATATGAGAGAGAAAGGAGTGAGTGTTGAGATGACGGCTGATAGAAGAGAATGGAAGAGAAAAATTAGCTGTGCCGACCCCAGCTAGTGGGATAATGTGGAGAAAAAGATGAAGTAGACAGACGAGCATACGGCCCACCTGATGATGAGTGGTTACTGTCGCTCATAGATGTCAGCAATGCCAGAGGCAGAGCCAAACTGCTGCTTACCGAAAAGTTTACAAGTGGATTACAATACTATGATAAGCTCGAAGAGTGAAAGTAAAGAGGACAAATCAAATCCAGAGAGATCTCACAAATAAGAGACTCAATAAGAAATAGACCTTAGAACTTATATCACAAGGTGGGTGGCGCATTTCCGTTGTAAATGTCTATGGGCTCCAGTAACCACTAAACACCAGTGGGCTGTGAGCTCGTCCATCCATATAAGCAATCAAAAAAAACAACTTCGGGCATATGAGCATACAGCTCGTATAATACAAAGTGGTGACTTAATGCTATAGTCATTAGAACTTTAATACTGGCGTACAAATTGAGAGATGTGAATAGGACTTATTCGCGATTGGAATAGATATGACATTTATAGTAACTCCTTCCATTTTAAAATAGCAAAAAACGACTCTGCACTTAATTTTCCAAAGGCGTAGAGAGTATTAAAAAAATAGCTACGCATACTGGATTGTCACATAAGATCCAATCACAAACCTTGATTATATCCAGCGTCATATCTATAGCTAGATTTAGTCACAAAATTTGTTTGCACAATTACAACGATTATTTTCGAAATGTTATGTACATTTTTATGTGCATTCGTTTTTTTTTCCAAATTTCTCATAAATTTGATTTTCAGCTGACTGTCCCAATAAGGGAATCATTTTCCGACTGATTAATATTAATCTAATATATTATCTATTTCTAATAATCTTTGTGGTGTAAGCGAAGGATTTTAACAAATGCGACATTATCTATACTAATATATAAATCTGCAGTGGTTTTTACGGATGTCCCGTTATAAATACTGAACTGTGTATCCGATTGAGTTGAAACTTGGTATCCATGTAGAAAATACATGTACTTAATAGATAGGCTAATACTTATATGAGTGTTGGACTCCCTAATAATAATGACAATAAATAATAATGTTAATTTTAAATGCCCAGCGAAGCGGGCGAGTACGGCTAGTAATATCATAAGACAATGGCATAGGGTTTAATATTTTGATAATTCCACGTTGTTTTCTAAGAAAACAATCTTTATTTGTTCAAACTGACGTAGCTGTTTGTGTCACTCATATTGTTAGTCCATGAACTACGATGATGCATATAATAATAAACTTAAGTGATTGATAATTTTGAAATTACATTGTAGATTTTATAACATTTTTATGCAACAATATCAATAAATATTAAAAACTAAAAAAAGGTAAGTAAATTTCGCAGTCTGATTTTTTTATTAAGTCTGTGTTTCGTATGTTCATATACACAATTAAAAAGGTATTGTGTGACGTAGCAATTAAATGTTTTAGTGTTTCAAGAAAAATTAATAGTCTACGAAGTAAAAGTATTTTTTTTATTGCTTAGATGGGTGGACGAGCTCACAGCCCACCTGGTGTTAAGTGGTAGCTGTAGTCCATAGACATCTACAACGTAAATGCGTCACCCCCCTTGAGATATAAGTTCTAAGGTCTCAGTATAGTTACAACGGCTGCCACACCCTTTAAACCGAAATGCATTACTGCTTCACGGCAGAAATAGGCGGGTGGTGGTACCTACCCGCGCGGACTCACTAGAGGTCCTACCACCAGATAATAACTCTTTTTTTTACAGCCATAAGTCGGGTATGATACTCGTAGTAATGCCTAGTTGAGAACAGGCTTCAGATTACAGACTATAATCGAAAAATCACAGATTAGATCAAACGATAGCTTATTTGGACACGTTTGTAGTTCGATACTTAGATTTCAAAAAAAACTTTCCTTAATCAAATGTTGAAAAAAAAGCTATATAGTAAAGGCTCTCACAAAACTGCGCCTGCTTTTCCGTTTCAAAGACATACTCAATTAGATTTGTAGACTATTTTTATAATAATTAAAACCAGTGACGTCACAAGTGATTATCAAACGACCGAGATATCAAATCGCGTGTCATTGAACTTTCGTAACCTTCACGTTAGGAAAAAATATAATATGTAATCTAATTTTGTATTGGCGAAACATTTAAATTATTCCGCGAATACATTATTATAATTCGTTATTGTGAAAATAGGTTAGACTTATATTTTATACTGGATTAAAATTAATACGGCTTGGTTATCTTAACTAACGTCGTGTTCTACCGGGCCCAGGCTAAATCTTTATCCAAAGAGGTTTTCGCTATTGGTTTTTGAAGTGAAAACTTCTTTAGAATCGTTGTGATTTCAAACCGGATGCAACGGAAAAAACGACAGGTAAGAGACACAAATACAAAAGAATGAGACAGAAATATACATACTATTTAATACAGCGCCATCTGTGAGATTTTTTAATACTAACGTGTGTATGAAAGCTCTTGTAGTGAATTTTAATTTAGGATTATACGTGAAATTNTGAAAACTTCTTTAGAATCGTTGTGATTTCAAACCGGATGCAACGGAAAAAACGACAGGTAAGAGACACAAATACAAAAGAATGAGACAGAAATATACATACTATTTAATACAGCGCCATCTGTGAGATTTTTTAATACTAACGTGTGTATGAAAGCTCTTGTAGTGAATTTTAATTTAGGATTATACGTGAAATTAAAATAATTCACAGAGGGCGCTACCTTACAATTATTTACTAATGACAAAATTTTACATATACTTAAGACGCTTAGGATAATTGTATTTTAATTTTGGAAGGTTTCACTTCTACCACGTGTGAATTGCACACATGTATTTTTTTTATTTATTGTCTTTTTAAGACGTTTGCGGAAATCGTCCTGAGTTTGATCCGTTAAAAGACAAAAGTCGAGCATAGTTAATAGACTTAATAATTTCGATGATGATGTCGAGTATTTTAATGAAAATTTCCACAGATTCACACTCCGGCTTAGTCTTTCAGGGTTAGTGGTGGCATCTACGTTGTGACCTTTATGAACTCCGGTAACCATTTGAATGGCCCATCATCATTACACGAGGAGAGCGGCCGTCAGAGAGGAGTGGCGGCTTGTGAAGCTTGCCACCAACGCCTGAAGTGATGACCACTTCGTCGAAAGCGATACCCACAAGGAAGAACCATGTGAAACCACATAAGCCGCATGCTCCCTCGCCTGTCTGTGCAATAAAAACATTGGCAACATTTTTTACTGGTGGTAGGACCTCTTGTGAGTCCGCACGGATAGCTACCACCGCCCCGCCTATTTCTGCCGTGAACTAGTAATGCGTTTCGGTTTGAAGGGTGGGGCAGTCGTTTTAACTATA